AAATGAAATACAGTTATGAGAAATACACTTAGTGCAGAGAAGAAACTATCTGTAACACTAAGGTTTTAGCAACAAGAGTTATGAAGATTAGTTATGAAGATTAAAAATTTAGTACTGCAATTTCACCACAATTATTGAGTAAAATTTAAATTTAAATTTAAATTTTTGTTTTAAATATTTTTATACAGACAAAATATTACATAATATTACAATATAATAAATATGTATAATAACATACATACATAAACATTAAACAAACAATGAAAAAAATTATGTGGATGTTTTTGTATTTAAGTTTAATGAATATTGCAGTACTGGATTAAATGATAATTATTGAAATAATGCATATATGAGATGTAATATGCAGAAATATTTTGATAACCATTTAATACTACTGTTGAATAATTTTCATTTAATTTTCCAAATTTTTCATGATAAATCATATCCATAATTATTTTTTATGCAATAATTAATTGATATCTGTTTAAATAAATAATACCTCAAATCAAAGGATTTTTTTTCCTATAATATCAAAGCACTCGTGCAATTTATAAATATTTATAAACTTCTGCCAAAATATCTATCTCCATTTTGTCTAAATTGCCTATTTGCTGGTTGAGTTACACTCGTAATCTTGGTCGAAATCTTCGATCGGTTCACCAATTCGGTTCAACCGAGATTCTGTTTCTTGCATCAAGATGCTAGTTGCAACCAATTCAATTTTTTGCAAGTTTCTTTCTAGATATTGTTACTTATGATGTCTAGATGAAGTGGCTAACTGGCGTGGATCGCATATGGCCCTTGCACTTTTCTAATCGCTAACGCTATCCTTCACTGCATCGATTTTTCCATTATGTTGAGAGTATCGCTACAATACTTGTATTGAGTATATATGTTACACATAAATTGTTTTCTTTACTATAGCTGCTAAAATTAAAGGAAGATAGGGAAAATATGGCCCGCTGCGGGATAGAGTGAGAACTAAATTCGCGGTGGAGAAATCGGCAGATTGAGTGAGCAACTGGTTCGGCCCGCGGCGGGGAAAAAGTTCGCTGTCTCTGCTGTATTCTTTGCAGATCATAGGATAGAAGTGGCTAACTGGCGAGTCGCGGGCTGCATGTGGCCCTTGCCCCTACTTTCCTAATTGCTAGCGCTATTCCTTCCATTGCATCGATTTCTCTCCTGCGTTGAAAGTGTCACGGCCACAATATTCGCATTAGGTATATATGTATTCATATAAATTGTTTTTTTTTAGCCTGTAAAAGAAGATAAGAAAAGTTGTTTATATGGCTTGCTGCGAAACAGAGTAAGAACTCTAATATTCATGGTAGAGGAACCGGTAAACTGACAATCAGTAAACAGCTCGTGCAAACCGCGGCGAGAAAGAAAGGTCTGCAAGTGGATACGACTCGATGTTTGTCTTTCTTTGTTCAATTAATGCTAGGAGTCTGATTCCTACATCGGTGATAGTTGTTCCGATACCGATTCGCCGATGCCGAACTAGATGTGTACATACATTGCAATATGTATCATGAAACTTAGGAGTCGATGTATGCATCGCCACATGTTTCAACGTGGCCTAAGCGACCTTAACAAATAATAAGTAATTTATTAGAAATTAGTCATATAATCTACATTGCATTATATTTAGTAGTTATTTATTATATTTAGAGTTTTTATATCTATTTTTTATCCATAAAAAAAGTTAATACAATATTATTTATTATATTTAATATTTTTATATTTATTTACATCTATTTTTCATCTACAAAAAAGACTAATTCAATAATAATAAAAGCTAATATAGCTGTATATTATATAAAGCGTACATAAAGATAGAACGTAAGTTCGATGATAAATTTTGTTTAAGACAATATTAAAAATGTTATGTAAAATAAGATACTTTATATGTATGTATGTATAATTAAATTGTATCTTAAAATAAATGAAGCGCACGTAAAGGTCGCGAAATAGTTGTTTTGAAATGCGATTATTAATCCAACAATCCAATTAAAAAATTAAATTTGCTGTAACGTATAATAAAATCTCGAATTTGAAAAAGAATGTATTTCACGAAAAAATTGCAATGTATTTTACGTTTATCTGAAATCGCATCTCGATTGATTTTAAACGGAAGTTTATATATGTAGATAGCAGTCATTTTTGTTACCTTGCAGCATCAAAACTATATTTTGTACTTATACTTTTTGGATATGCAACAAAATATATACACTATCAGTTCAATTTAGTTTCGTTTAAAAAGGTGATACTTCCACTTATCTTATTACATGTGTTAAATACGACTGATCTGCAATGTTTTCTTTCCAACCTTATAATCAGGTTTGTATCATGTTGAAATACTACAACTGTACAAAAATTTTCAAAGTTCATAGATTGTTTGCTATATAAATTTTTATATTTGATAATGTAATACGTGTAAATTTATATTTTACATTTTTTTTTAAATATCTTCATAAATTTTTATTTTATAACCTTATACGTATAGTTTATTATGAAATTTATATGCATCTTATAGGTAAAAAATAATTTCTTAAATTATAAAATAAACTTCGTTTTATATACACATACTTTTCTAAAAAAAAATTTATTATACTTAATATTTTTAGGTGTTATATCATCTGGCACAATTAACTTCAGTAGTTAGTCCAAAATCTACATCATTTCCAGTTAAAATAAAGAGACAAAATGAGTTGAAAAAATCTGTGAATGATATTTCCTCTAGTAATTTGTCAGATGTAAGATAATTTGGTAATATATTACACAAATGATAATGATAATTTATTAAGTTTATCTTTTGTTTTAGGCTACTAAGAATTATATTGATACATTAATAGGTAAATTAAACACGTCTAATATAATTACAATGTTTGATATAAGAACAAATAATGTTTTGGTAGTGTTAGATCAAGTTTCTATGAGAATTTTTAAGAGAAATTTAGAAAACAATAACAAATGGAAAGTATCATATATATCAGAATTGAATTCTATAAAAAACAAACATAAATATTTATATAAGAAATGTGCTGAAGAAATTATTTTACCTACTATGTATTTATCATCGAAACAACGTTATACAACATTATGTACCTTCTGTAATAAAAATTTATTTAATTACCATGTACAAATACGTAGTTTTAAAACAAAACGCAATGTGAATGCTGAATTAGAGAAACAATCATCGCTTATAAATAAATTAAGAAACATGTTTGGTTATTTTTCTGGAACAGTAAGATCATATGTTATTTATCGTTTACAATAATATTTTTTGTATTTTATAAATAACTTTTCTTACTTCACAGAATTCATCATTAGTACAAGCAGTGAAAAAACAGAAAGAAGTGATGGATCTCAAATCTTTATTCACCAATGAATCCAGTGATTATAAAACTATTATACTAGCTTTTATTGAAGGATTTGAAGCAGGACGCCAATCGTCTTCTTTTGGATGGGTTAAAACATTATATAGTTTAGCATCAGGATGTTTGTTTCTATCACTCTTATATATAAGTATGTAAATTTGGAAATATAATGGAATTTTTGTAATTATTTTCTTTAATAATATTATTTTAATACATTTTTTGTAATATCTACCCATATTGTTTAAAAAAATATATATTATCATAAATATTATTGTAAATGAATACTCATGATAAATTAAAATTATTGAAACTTATTTCACTAAAAAAAAATATTTATAACTATAATTATTAATATGTTTAAATGAATATCAATATGTTATAAATGATCAATAATTATATAATGTTTCTTATACTTTCCATATTATAGTTTATGTTGTAGGAAGTGGATTACGATTTCCAATAGATGGTATGAAGTTTAGACCAGAAATAACACATATAACTTTCAATGATATTAAAGGAGTAAGTAAATTGTTTTAAAATTTTTAATTTAAAAGTTTAAGCTTTTTCACTTCATTAAATGTTATATATTCATTTATATATAATTAGGTTGCAGAAGCTAAACAAGAATTAAGAGATATAGTTGAATTTTTAAAAAATCCAGATAAATTTGTTGCGCTTGGTGCAAAGTTACCTAAAGGCGTATTATTAGTAGGACCACCAGGGACAGGGAAAACATTATTAGCTAGAGCGGTAGCTGGTGAAGCTGGTGTTCCATTTTTTCAAGCAGCTGGGCCAGAATTTGAAGAGATTTTAGTGGGACAAGGTGCACGAAGAATGAGAGATTTATTTAGTAAGTTGTAAATGAAATGTTACAAAAACAAAATAAGTATTAAAAAACATTCTAAATTATGCGTTAACAGAAACCAACTTATATTTCTCAATTTCTTTTTTTTTTCACATAAATATATATATTTTTTAAATTATTTATAATTCATATCGGTTTGATATATTAAAAATTGTATATTTATATTTAAACATTATGATCATTTTTAAAGCTGTTCTTAATGTTATATATTTATATTTTCTCTTTTATTTGTAATACATTTATCCTAATTAGCAGGTTAAATATTTAAATATTGTTTTTCATTTTTTTTCATTATTATAAAACAATGTAATAATATATTTTACATTTATTATCATCTTTATTTTGAATAAAAATTTAAAGAGATATTAATATGATATTATATAAAATTTATTACTATGTTTTCAATAAATGTATTTTGAAAAATTTTTACAACTCCTTCATAGTTTATTATTTTTTTCAGAAGCAGCAAAAGAAAGAGCACCTGCTGTAATATTTATAGATGAAATTGATTCTGTTGGTGCAAAACGAACAAATTCATCTCTTCATCCATATGCAAATCAAACAGTAAATCAATTACTTACAGAAATGGACGGGTAAACCAAAAATTTTATTTCTTTGTTTTGCAATATACAAGATGATTTTAAAGATTAATATGGGTTGTATGTGAAAACAAAAGAAATTGGTAGAAGAAAAAATGAAACTTTAATAAGAACTATTTTGTCATATGATTTTCTTTTTAAATTTAATAATGCAATAAAAAGTAAATTAATTCTCATATTATTTTCTTCTTTTGATGATATATTTTCAACAATTTTTTTACTACTTTTTTAAATATATTTTATTAGAATGTCTTTTTTTATTTTATATGTATTAGGATAAGGAAAATCGATCTATAACGTAAATTACTTAAACATGTCTTACCTTATATTGCAAGAAAAATAAATAGAGAAAAAATTAAAAAATTATTGTAGGATGGATGGTTTTATCTTCGTTTTAAACTTCGTTGTATATCTGTTTTATGTACAGTTATTCTTATCAATAATAATTTGTTTTTTTATACTTTCAGATTCCTTCAGAATGAAGGTGTTATAGTATTAGGTGCAACGAATAGGCGCGATGATTTAGACAAAGCATTGATGCGACCTGGTCGTTTTGATGTTGAAGTTCTTATTGATATACCAGATTACTCGAGTCGAAAGGAAATTTTTGATTTATATTTATCAAGAATATTTACTGAAGACGTCGATTCGGAGTATTTAGCGAAATGCACTCCTGGATTTACTGGAGCTGATATAGAGAATATGGTATTCATTTATCTTACATTTTTATTAAAGTGTTTTAATTGACAATAAGTAATAATTTTAAGTTAAATTATTTTTAATACCATGAATTCAATTCTAAAAGGTAAATCAAGCAGCTTTAAGAGCTGCTATAAATGATGCTGAACTTGTAACAATGAAACATTTAGAATATGCTAGAGATAAAATAATCATGGGTCCAGAAAAAAAACAAAAAATTAAAGACATAGAAACTAATACCATTACAGCATATCACGAAGCAGGACATGCATTAGTTGCATATTATACTGAAGACGCACCACCAATACATAAAATTACTATTTTGTCTCATAACTATTCTTTAGGACATGTGAGTATTAGAAGTCAATGATTGTATGTCTTATTTATATTACTATTATTGATGTATATATATTTTTTATAGACTGCATTTTTATCCGACGATAAATATCATACAACAAAATCTAAATTATTAGCTGTAATCGATAGTGCAATGGGTGGTCGTGCTGCAGAAGAATTAATTTTTGGTCCTGATAAAGTAACATCAGGAGCATCTAACGACTTTATGGTATCTTGATATGGTTTCATATTTATATAAACAATTTTTTATCATATATTTGATAATTTAAAAAATATTTGATATATATATATATTCATCATGCAATAAAATATATGTATATATATATATATATTCAATATTATTCCTTAGAGGGCAACTGCCATTGCAGAAGAGATGGTACATAAATATGGTATGTCTGAAAAACTTGGTTTTGGTATAATTCGTAAAAGAACACAAGTGGACGGATATGACTTAGGCCCTAGCACAAGTGATCTTGCTGATAAAGAAGTGAAACGCCTTTTACAAGTAAATTTTATTACTATATAGTATTAATTCTGTCATGTAATATATTTCTTAATTTTTTTAAAATGTATTTTCTATTTTAGGAATCATATGAACGAGCAAAACAGACATTGCAAAAACACGCGAAAGAACTTAAAATAGTAGCAGATGCTTTACTTAAATACGAAACATTAAGCTCTAAAGATATAGAAGCTATAATTAATGGAGAAAAGATTCCACCTGAAGTTTTAAAAAATGAACCACGGATTGTAGATCCGTCTGAACATGTATTATAATTAGCAAACCAAGATTCAATTTACAATGACACATAAAATAAATTATTTCGTGCAGTATCGTAATCTACAATTATATTTTATATTACTTTATTATAATAATTATATTTACAATTTTATAGACGCAGAATTATTGAAGTTCAATTAAAATATCAGATATTTCAATTAAGAACTTTGTAATACATAACTTTTATTTCGTTATATAATTTCAATACAAATTTATATAATAATTCATATGAATTTATATTTTACAGCCAATTAGTATTAAAAGTTTCAAATGAAAATAAATTAAGACAATATACAAATATGTCAAAAAATAATATAAATGTAAAATACTATATATAATTATATATAAAGACAAAATTGTATATGAGTAGGTATTGTAACAAAATTTTTACATTACCTAAAATTTATAGCAATAATCGTACAATTAAAATTTTCATAAAATAATTTTGCAAAAGAAATTTCATTTTTCGTTTATAAAAAATGTATCAATGTCATTATCGTTTGCAATATTGAACAGAAAACATTAATAATATCTATTATTACAATATAATTGTTTTTTCGTTGCTAATATAACAATAAGTTCTTTTTTATGTTAACTAATTTTCGATTTTATTTTCAAAAAACGAATTATTGAAAATACCGCATCAATAATAAATAAGCAAATATATTTAATTTTATTATTCTTTTATGTTTATTATAAATCCACTTTTTAACTGGAAATATTAATTTTTATTATAATTAACTAATTGTTTAATTGAAACAAAATATGTTTGTACAAAATATCTATATAAAATATTCAAGCAGATTAATAATATTTAGGCCATATAGCGTTAACATTTTATTTACTAGATATTATAAATTATACAAAATTATATATCAACATATTTCATATTCCTTATAATTCCTATCTACTGTTTTTTTTTTATACAATGAAGATCACTCTATCATTATTGCATCTAAATCTATTACTACGATTCATTAATGCTTATTCTTCTCGTTTTGTTTGAAGTCTAAAGATATTGAATTTATCAATTAACAATATGCAATATTACTTGAAACAAAAATATATTTCCAAAAATGCTAGAAAACTTAAATTCAAATTTGTATTTTGAATAAATAATTTGCATAAAATATAATACGTGTGGACAAATATAAACCAAGGAAAATTATTTATAATCTAATTCTACAAGATTAAGACATATGTACAATAAAATGTACAGGAAAAATCATATATAGGTATTCATACAAATATCACAGTTACTACCTTTGAAAAATCACAACAATTTAAATTCTTCGAATATACCTGAAATTAATTTTAATATATGAAATATTAACGGAAGAAGCTTAATTTAAATAATATTGTTTTTTTAACAATAAAGTGGTAAATATTATTATTTAGATTTTTATGTTCGAAATATTTTTGTAATAATATAATTATATAATGTAACGTAAAATATTAATCAAAATTTTTTTCTTATTAGATAAAATTTTTATATTATAATCGTTTTAAATTTTTATATCGCATACCGTTTTATTTAGATATCACAAATATTTTTTCTTTAAAAAACAAAAGAAATTACTTTCATCAACGTATGCAAATTGAATCTCACATTAAAGAATATGTTACAATATAAAATTAATTAATGAAAGAAAAATAATTTCAAATATTAAAAATGTACAAAATACATTATATAAAATTATTATATTAGCATGTAGAACACATTGTTTTAATTTAAAAAACGAAATTTTTCAAAGATATATATTTCACAGAAATAAAAAGAAACATTTTTAACTAATTTAGAATATAGAATATAAAATTCTATATAATATAAAATTTCATAATGTTAAATTTATAAAAAGAAAAATATCCATAAAATTAATAACGGGAATTAATTGCTATTTTATAAGGAATAAAGAGGGAATCGCATTTGTTATGTTTCTTTTTAATGATTTTTTTGCATTTTTTTTTTTTTTTTTTTTACTAAAAAAGAATTTTTATTTACAAAGCAAAATAAATTGCCAGTGACACTAGCACACGCAATGGAAATATCGCTTTCCTATTGCTTGATTTAGTCTACCTGACATTCGATCATACAAAATAGGTAGAGAAATTTTTTTGTTTTGTTTTTTTTTCCATTAATGAAGCAAAAAGATCTTGAAGAATCAAAAAAAACGATCCTTCGAAGATCGATAAGCCTCAGTCACGGCGTTTAAAGCCGCGTAATATCGCCAAGTCTACTTTTTTTTTTTCTTCGGTGTTGAAAGTAATACAAAATCTTTGACAAGAAACAAAACGCAGATCGTTTAATGTGGCAAGATTATTACGTGTATTATAAATATATTTGACGGAAAATAAGCAAGGCGAGTTTTCGTTTTTATTTTAATAAATTACCAATAAAATAAATCTGCAAGCAGCGGTACTTTTGTTTATACTTTCCTTCTCTTCTTCTTCTTTTTTTTTTTCATGTGTGTTTCATTCGATCGTGCAGGATAGTATGCTAATTCACGATAACGTTGAAGAACAGAAAACTCGATATATCAGAAAGAGATCAGCAGCTGGATAACATTTCAAAAATTAAAATGGAGATCTTTGCAATAATTTATGATCCTCGTGGATCTTGTTTTACGAAAAATTATGTCATTCTACGTATTTCTAATCGTGATAACCGATAAATTATTGCATTCTACGATTACGACATATAATATTTTACTGACCTATCAAACTGTCCTACCCCATGCAATATTGTTAATATCCGAGTAATTATCCATTTGTACTCCATTCTTTTCTCCGTCGAAATTTATACATATGCTTCTTTTTAAGAAACAAACTCGTAATTATTAAACAATACAAGGAAATATTTGTTACGGAAATTTTTATTACAAAGGAAGATATGTTTCTGCCGTGGTATTAAATGTTAATATAATAGAATATAGACAAATAAAGGTATATTAATAAAAAAAAAAAAATTAAACAGTTTACAAATCAATTAACTTTCGATGGAGAAAAAATACAGTGCAAAGTTAGATTGTATGGTAATTTAATCATACCATGCCCATTTAAACAATCTTGTCCTGTCAGTTCATTCTCATTTCTCATTGAAATAATTTAGTATCCAAAATGATGTTTACGATATTTCCTTAAGCAGACAAGATCGTCATTATTATTACTTTGTCGTTTAAATATATAACTATATCTATTGACTGCTTGTGTAAATATGAATGTATATATGTTTCAATATAATTTATTTCCGCTGTTTTGTTTTTAATTTTTTTCCTTTTTTTTTTTTCCTTTCTTTAATAAATCGGTGCTGTTACATTACAGATGCCTAGATACCAGTATCAATTTTGACGCTTCGCATTCATTCTTTTATTAATTCGAAAGCCAATAGCTTTATAGTATTAATCTTTCTTTTTCGTTTTCTCTTCTGTTTGGCAAATAAAGGATAGTATAATTATTGCACATTCGAATTTGTTTCATAAAAATGTTCCGCGTATTTCCCGCGAATATATCGATATCCGTACCTAGATAAATTCAAATTGTAAATTAAACAGCACAGACCTAAACCCTGATTACACGATAATATCGAATAATTCCTACCTAAAATCTTTGTGCGTACAACAACAAGTAATATCGTAGTACATATTCTTTTTTTTTTCTTTTTTTTTTTTACTTACGAGTTATAAATAGCAGTATCATTATAGAAATTTCCAAGATCTTCGATCATTTGGTCAAGTCAATGAAAGTCATTTATTATACTTGCTTGATTTACGGTTTCCATTAATTTTTTTTTCTTTCTCTCTTATTTTTCCTTTCTCTTTTTTTCTTGTCATTGCACAACCTACAATCGGTCGAGTCCTCTCTTCTTTTCGCCCGTTTTAATTTAACTGCTAGTTTTTCAAATCACTACTTGGTTCGTCGAATGATTCTCTCTCTTTTTTTTTCTTCTTCTTCTTCTTCTTCTTTTCTGTTTGTACAATTTCACAACTCGCCTTACAGTAAGATTACCGTCTCATTAGCTTTTCTTTAACAGTTTAGAATATTCGAAAACTACGCTGTAACTTATTTCATACAAAGAATGCTGTTACTCTCTCGCTGGATTTCAGGCTGTATGGGGGAAACTAACGTTTTCTTGTTTGCTTATAAATGTGTGATGCGATTATCAGAGATATTTATTAACCCTTTGAAGTATTACTAATTCCCTTTCTTTTCCCTATTTTTATTATTCACTTATTAAAATTCTGTTTCAATTTGAATCAAGATATAAAAATACGCTTGATCGGCATGTTCGTATAATCTTTTAATATTTTTCGAAAAATCTTGTCCGATTCTCTATCATCGATTTGTCATTAGAAAGTTAGTTTATGATATAGAGACTTTCGTTTCCATAGAAATTTCAAAAGCTGCCCTTCTCAAACTCGGCTTATTGGATTATCCATGTTGGACCAATTTCATGCTTCAAAAGGTTAATAGAAACGTGCAGGTTACAAATTCAAAATCTCGATTACATGCGTAACATTATCTAGATTCATGGAACTCGAAATCCTTCGAATTTCCACGTACGACTATTTAGTTACAGTATGCGAAATGGCGATTAAAAACCGATATTAGCAATGTAGTGCCTGTATGTGGCAATAGCATAAACCAAGAGACATATTCGAAATACATATTTGATTAACGGCAATGTTACATGAAAATTTTACATACGATAAATACACAGGAATCTGATCACATAGATTAAAAGAAAGAAAAAAAAGAAATTTCAAACGAGTCATTACCTTTCAACTTAATTTAATTTCTTCTTATTATTTTCTTTTTATTGTCATAATAATCGCTCATTTGATTAAGTTAACAAGTTAATTCGATTTTAACAAAAACATGAGATTTGGTTCATGCTATTTGTACGTCAAATAGTAACTCTCAAAGAACAAGATTTCACAAAAATCATACTATACATTTACATGGTGTTAACACACTCGTAACGCCATATAATCCTTTACAGAATGATAATAGAGAATTCTTGCAAATGTCGTGTGCTCGTGATCATTTGCGAGTAAATAACATTTACCCCGTACTCTTTTTTTTTTTCTTTTCTTTTTATAAAAATCTAACATTTTACGACGTCGAAGCGCATCGTTTAAGACTTCGACATGAAAAATAATTTCAAGTGATGAAATTCATACAATCACGACCGACCGATCATTTGTTCTCGCGTGGATTCTTTACGAAAGATCCAATCTCTTCTGCCTCGAAAGCTACGTAATCACGATGCGTTAGGAATAAAAATCAGTTAAACAGCTATCCAATTCATAAAATTCTCGATCAAGAACGCCATAGAAAAATATAAATTGGCGGTGTATTTATGGTAATTCGGATTTCATTGATGAACAAAACGACATACCAGGAAGACCCGCCATAGCAATAATTATTTAGTACTATTATCGATGCAGAATCCAGTACGATACATAAATATGATACATAAATTTACGTCTTTCATTTCTTATTTAAAACAAAAGTGCTCAAACTTCAATTATCTGAATTATACGAATTTCGATAAATTTTCAAGAGACCAAATTAATGTTTAAAAATTATATTTAAAATAACAATTTGAAGTTGTACTAAAAAACAAAAAAAAAAAAAAAAAAAAAAAA